CAACAAGAAGCATGTTGTCCTTATGGAGATGGAGTTTGGATACAGAAACACAAGCAGACTGCAATAAAATCTGCCTGTACACAGTTCATGTGATGAATAAAGCGGTTTTGCTCTATGTTGCAGGCCCAGGGTTGGATTTTCTGTTGCATAGAACTGGCAACCAGAACTTCCCTTCCAAATGTCAGTGTGCATTCAGGGAATCAGTTCTTCCGTAAGAACTGAAATCACAACAAAAGTTACGAGAGGGTTAGGCTGGCTGCATATCTCTGTGGGCTGTTCCTGTGGGAAAGATGGGGCTTTGCAAGGGCAAAAGTGTGCTAAAATCCCTCTTTTCACACTTACAAATCCCTTTATTTGTTTTAGATACTTTCCCATTTCCTTTGTCAGGGGGTTGGTACATCCCCCCCCCCTACCCTCACCCCTCCCCCGCAGCAATGAGTTCAGGTTACCCGTTTTCAGCTACATACATACAATTTAGTTCCCATCTAGAAAGACATCAAACTAACCTTTGTGGCTTGTATGTTTTTATTTCCTTACACTTACGACTGCCAAGGAAAGTTGATAAGCAACTTCCCAAGGAAAATTCACTGACAGTACCTGAGATTTTTTTTTTATTTTTATTTTTTTCTCCACATCTTCTAATGCTGATCCCAGCTGTTTCTGATCATCTCTTTCCATGGCACTTATCTTTCTCTCCCAGACAATATGCAATACACACCGGTGTCTGTTAGGAAAAAGACACTGGCAGGCAATAAATGACAGAGAGTTGCCACATGTCTGAAAAAAAATCCAATGAGAAGAGGGTTTTAATTTAGATCCTCTTCAACTCAATAAAAAGAAAATCCTGAAATAATACAGCTTTCTAAGAGCATAGGCAGTATGTAAGTGCTGTGTTGTTTGGAAAAATATTTGTTTATATTAGTGATGGTTGCCATAGGATTGAGGAGAGAAGGCACTGCATCCCGCCACTGAGAAAAGGAACTTGTATCCCCACCTCATACCAAGATATTCTCACCTTTGTTGTTAACTATTCCACTCTGAAGGGACCATATGAAGCTGTTCTTGGACAGATAAGAATAACACAGAAAATCAGTTTGTACTAACTAATGGGTAACTAAGAGAAGAGTGGTGTATTGGATTTGTGTGGCAAGGTTTTGGTAGCAGGGGGCTGTGGGGGTGGCTTCTATTAGAAGAGCAGCAGCAGATGAGAATACACAGAGCCAGTGTCAGCCAGCTCCAAGGTGAACGCACTGCTGGCCATGCCCAACTGCAAGTCTGCCAACAACGGTGATAGCACCTCTGGGATAAAGTATTTAAGAAGGGGAAAAAGTTACTGGGCAGAAGCAATTTCATCAGGAGAGGAGTGGGAGTATGTGAGAGAAACAGCTCTGTAGACACCAAGGAGGAGAGGGAGGAGGTGCCCAAGGCACCAGAGCAAAGATTCCCCTGTAGACCATGGTGCAAACCATGGAGAGACAGGCTGTCCCAATGTGCCACTGAAATCCAGTAATATAAACTCTCCAACCAGAATGACAGGTTAGAAAACTGATGTGACTTTATTGAGGTATTGGGTGCATATGGGAATCACTCCACCTATCATGTACACCAAGAAGAGACAGTTTACAGCTTACGTACATTTATTATATATATATATTCATCATAATTTGTGAAGTTCCCACCCAGTTCTCATTGCATATAGTAATTTGGGTAGATAAAGCCAGGCACTGTGAATTTAAAGAATGGTCTTTGCTGGTCATGGTGGTCACTTGGGGAGAAATATCTCATTTTACCCTTTTATGGACATCTGTTATTTAAGGACATGGGAGTGCTTGTTTAGTCTCGCCAATTAACTACATGTTCTTGTTTGGGCAAATTTGTGACCTAAGTGGTTCATCTAGCAGTTTTCTCTTGCAGCCATTTACTTACTTCTCTTTCTCCTTATCGAAAAGAGGAAGGCCCACATCTGCTTGAAGGAAGACATCTGGTTCTTCTGTTGCATGCCTTCCTTATCTTGAGAATCCTTTCAGCCTTGACTGTCTCTCTATCCACAATGCAATACTTGTTCAATCTGGTATCATGTGCAGCCCATGGAGGTCCATAGTGGAACAGATCTCACCTGCAGCTTGTGGAGGACCCCACACCAGAGGAGGGGGATGTCCAAAGGAGACTGTGGCCCCGTGGGAAGCCCACACTGGAGGATGCTCCTGGCAGTGCCTGTGGCTCTGTGGAAAGAGGAACCCACACCGCAACAGGTTTGCTGGCAGGACTTGTGACCCTGTGGGGGATCCACGCTGGAGTAGCTTGTTCCTGAGGACTGGAACACCTCATGAAGAACTGAAGCCAGAAGGACTGACTTTGGAATAATTCATGAAGAACAGTTTCCCATGGGAGGAAGCCCATGCTGGAGCAGGGGAAGAGTGTGAGGAGTCCTCCCCCTGAGAAGAATTCCCATTCCCCCGTGCTTTTGAAGGTGAGGAGGTAGGGAAGTCAGGAGTGAAGTTAAGCCCAGGAAGAAGGGAGGGGTGTTCTTAAGATTTGGTTTTATTTCTCATTATCCTACTCTGATTTGTTTAGTAATTAATGTCCCCAAGCAAAGTCTGTTTTGCACTTGACAGTAACTCGTGAGTAATCTCTTCCTGTCCTTATCTCAACCCAGGAGCCTTTTGTGGTATTTTCTCTCTCCCATCCAGCTGAGCAGGGGCATGACAAAGTGGCTTTGGTGGGTACCTGCCATCCAGCCAGGGTCAAACTTCCACAGGTGGCTTCCCTGCCAAATCTGTGTGCATGAGTACGAAGGAAAGGACGGTGTGTGTGCGCCTCCCAGATAATCTCCCCCTTGTGTAGCCTGTGGGGAGAGATTGATCCGCTTAAAGGCACAGTGCCGGGCGGCCTAAGCAGGCTCTCCAGTGCCACACGGAGCGAAGGTGCTCTCAGGTCTCCGGGCAATCCGTTGGCTGCGGGCTCTGCCGGAGCCTCCCATCCTGCCCCGGCCGGAGCTTCCTTCACTGCCATACGTGTGCACAAGGCTCAGGACTGCAGCTGCAGCAATATAAATCCTGGAGCTCAAGGAAATCGTGGAGGGAGGCCGGGGATCCAGCGCTGCAGTAAGCAGGCTGCCGGTCTGTGCCCAGAGCCCGACCACCCAAGACTCCTAACTCTTACCACCCCAACACAAACGTTGCTCTGCACTTCCCCGAAACGAACCACACAGAGCTCAACGACCCCCACACAGCCCCGCCCTTCCTGCCTCAGACTCGCCTTCTACTGAATCCCATCCCCCTCACCTCCCCTTTTCCCCCTGTCCGCCGTCTCTCCGCATGGCGACTGCCGGGAAAGACTCCTTCACACAACAAAGTTTTTCTTCCCTGCTCCAGTTCTCTGCTTCTTCCCTCTCGGTAACCGTACAGGTGGCAGTCGTCGTTTGCAGCAACAAGAACGTCCCCCGGCTGCTCCGCCGCCCTGTGGTACGGGTCGGCTACCGTCAGAGGAGCATGTATTGGAGAAGTGACGACAGGCGCCGAGCCGCGAGCGCCACCGCGACCAATCCTCGTCCTCCGGCAGCTCTCAGGGCCGGGCCGGGCGCGCCTGCTGCGGAACTCCGTGAAGTTCTCACTCAGGTCTAACCCAGCCCGGCAGTTGCGAGGCTCTGGGTCTTGGCGGTCTCTCTCTGCCCTGCTAGGTGATTTACTAGGCCCGGGAAACCGGGGCAATGGAGGAAGAGCCCAAGCAGAGATCAGTACAGCAGGCAGGGCTGCGCGGATCTAGGAAGAGAACGCCTTGAAAGCCCCTCGGTTTGGTTTCTTCTGTCCCCCACGAGAACGCTACCCGAAAACTAGTCCAGCGTGAAGCTTTTTGCTGAAAAAAGAAAAAATCGTAAGGTCACCCTGAGACGTATTGTGCTTTCTATGTTCCCAGCTCACAGATTTCCTGTTAAGAGTGTTTCACGGGGGAAGAACAAACACCGGCTGCATGCTTATATAGGACATTAATGGGAACATCTCCACAGATCACTACTTAAATCGCTTCCCCCACCCCAAAGGGAAGAGGGTTCTAAGGCTGTTTCGGGAATCGTGAAATATCTGCTCCTGTAGCAAATACAGAATGCATCGTTTTACTGGAATTGGTTACTTATATCCAGGTTTACAGAAATAGACAGTATTTTTATGTTACTGTTATTTCCTTCCTGGAAAACCCGCAGAATGCAGTAAGTCAAAGAAACAGCTCTTTTATTGAAAAAGTGAATGGCTCTTAGAAGAGCCTTGGGGTTGTCTAGTCTCTCCAGAGAACAGACACTATTTGAAGCTAGTGTACTTAGTAACAGCCTTGGTACCCTCAGAGACTGCGTGTTTGGCCAGCTCACCCTGCAGCAGGAGCCGCACGGCTGTCTGGATCTCCCGAGAAGTGATGGTGGAGCGCTTGTTGTAGTGCGCCAAGCGCGAGGCCTCACCAGCAATGCGCTCGAAAATGTCGTTGACAAAGGAGTTCATGATGCCTATAGCCTTAAGAGGAGATGCCCGTGTCTGGGTGCACCTGCTTCAGCACCTTGTACACATAGATGGAATAACTCTCCTTGCGACTTTTGCGACCTTTCTTGTCGACCTTCTTCTGGGTCTTGGTCACCGCCTTTTTAGAACCATTCTTGGGCGCAGGAGCAGACTTAGCCAGCTCAGGCATTCTTAGAAAACAAACACGTCCGCAAGACCACACTACAAACAAAACACGTGAAAATAAAGCGCCAATTGCTGCTGCCCCTTTTATACAGGTGCCGGCACAGCAGCGGCTCAATATCGCCATTGGCTGGAAATGCCTATTCAGATCGTCACAGAGACCTTAAATCTCCTATTGGACACTTGTCGATCCTCGTTGCCATTGGCTGTAAAGAAATATGTACTCCTTCACAGCCTATCAGAGAAGGCGCTGCGGCTCCCACAGAGCCATATATAAACGAGCGGGCGGAGACGACTAGGATTGTTTTGTTGGAGGTGTTGATAGTGGTTTTATTGAACTGCTCTCCAAATGACTGGGCGCGGGAAACAGGGCGGGAAGGCGCGTGCTAAGGCCAAGTCGCGCTCGTCGCGAGCTGGACTGCAGTTCCCCGTTGGTCGCGTCCATCGCCTGCTGCGCAAGGGCAACTATGCGGAGCGGGTGGGCGCCGGCGCCCCGGTGTACCTGGCAGCCGTGCTGGAGTATCTGGCGGCCGAGATCCTGGAGCTGGCGGGCAACGCGGCCCGCGACAACAAGAAGACTCGCATCATCCCGCGGCACTTGCAGCTCGCCATCCGCAACGACGAGGAGCTCAACAAACTGCTGGGCAAGGTGACGATTGCACAGGGTGGTGTGTTGCCCAATATCCAGGCTGTGCTGCTGCCCAAGAAGACCGACACCCACAAAGCCAAAACTAAATGAGCCTAATTAAGAAACAAAATGGACAAAAAGGCTCTTTTTAGAGCCACCCACAATGGTCATGAAAGGTTGAATCACTGCAGTTTCCTTTGTTTCTGATAAATGTAATTACAGGCATGTAAGCTGTTTTTTCTTCAGGCCTTATCTATGCAGTTTTATCTGATTTTCTGTGGTAGAGAGTTAGTTTTACTAATATTAATACTTACTTGTAAATTTGCTGCCTGTTTGGGGGGGATTACATTTTTTTTTCTGTTTTGGGAAGTCTTCATTTTAATATCAGTAGTACGGTTACATTTGTGTATGGGAGTGAAGTAAACATTGCTCCTTCTGAGGAGTAAGTGAGCTCTAGCTTTTTTTCATATGTTCTATGTAGTATTTAATAGTGAACAATATAAAACAAATGCTTTGTATCAACCTACTTTGTTTTCCTGTCTTGTTGCAGACTGTCAAACAGTAGTTGATTACTATTCAACTCAGGGCAACTTGTGATTTTCAAACTCTGGTGGTGCAAAGCACAGGCAAACCCCCAAATCCTGAGGAAGCTGGTTGTTCCTCACTGGCCCAGAACCAATTATTTAACAAAAAGATACATGTTCCCTGCCTTAGTTTACTTGTTATTTTCCGTTTTGCATTGTGTATTAATGTTACTAGGTAAAAGATTTGGTACTGGTTTTCTCTAGCAGTTAATTGTAGCGTACCGGTGAAGGATTTCACGCAGGGCAGGGTTACCAATGTTTTTATCAAGCTGCTTAATGTGACATGCTACCATGGTGATGGCTGCTGTATTTTACTGCGAAGTGGACTACTGCTTTTAATTAAGAAATTAAGGGCTTGCACTTGGGGATTGAGTGCTGGGTGGCACAGGTATAGTTGGGGGGTGTGATGTGCAGTAGGGGTCTCACTTGGGGCATCCACCTTGAGCTGCTCTGCATGTTGGATAAATGAACAACTTATTTACGCTGTGGACTGGGGACTCACGTTCTTCAAGGAGGAACCTGGGGATAAGCCCTGTTGAGGTGGCATCTGCATAATTCCTACCATGGTCTGGGTGGCTGCAACATAATTCCTACTACACTGGGATGATGTATTTGAAAACTGTGCCATCTTACTGTTGCTGGTGATGTTATTTGGGCAGAGTGAATTTCAAAATACAAGGAACACTGCTTTGAACTGAGTAGGGAAGAATACTAAAGAATATGAATGATTGAAGAATATGCAGTTATAAAATTTTATATTCACAATAGTTTATTCATTCCTTTTTAAAACATCCTCCTGTATAATTAAATTGTTTTTTGTTACTCTTGCTGAGACTAAATTCTACTACTTTTGCCTCTGATGAAAAGAAAAAGTACACCAAATTTTCCACAGTAGTTGATTCTTTTTTTAATTTTTTTAGTTTTTACATTTGAGATAGACATTTGGTCTCAGCATGAACAGAAAAATAACAAATGTGTTAGAATAAGATCTGATGATGTGTGTGCACAGGTTGAAATCCTATGCCTACATTACAGACCCCTAGTATTTTCTTATCATTCATACTGACATTGAAAGAAGTAAAATTTCCTTTTCTGTGAAGAGTTTCATAAACATGGAAATAATCTCACATACCAAAACAGACCTTTTTTTTTAGAAAATAAGGATACTTGGAATTTACTGTGTGTCATGGCTTAAGCACAGCCAGTAACTTGGAACCACACAGAGGCACAGCTGCTCGTTCACTCTCCTCCCTCCTTCCTCCCCTGCTTTCGTTGGTTTGGGGGGAATCAAAAGAATGTAAACTCATGGCTTGAGATAAGAGCAGTCCGATGACTGAACTATAACACAAAACTATTACTACTACCACCAACAGTAATGATATGGGAAATCACAAAGGGAGAGAATATAAAAGTAAAAAGGGAAGGGGAAAAAAAAAACCAACAAACCCACAAGAGATGCTCACCATCTGCTGACCGATACCCAGCCCAATCTGAGCAGCAATCTGGGCCTTCCAGGTAATTCCACCATGTTTATATACTGGGCATGATGTGGTATGGAATACCCCTTTGGCTAGTGTGGGTCAGGTGTCCTGTCTCTACTTCTTGTGCCCCTCTTCACTGGCAGAGCATGGCACTCTAAAAGCACTTGATCAGAGTAAGCATTACTTAGCAACAACTAAAACATCAGTGTGTTATCAGTATTGTTCTCAGACTAAAGCTGAAAACAGCACTGCACCAGCTACAAAGGAGAAGAAAAATAATAGCTACAGTTGAACTCAGGACACTGTGAAAGCTGTTTTGAGAGCAATGAACTGTGCACCACAGAGCGTACAAAACCAGGAAAGGCAAAAGGAATGCAGACTGATTCCTGAACTGGGAGGCCAAAAGGCACCACTGAGATCTTCCTTTTATTCAGCTAACAGTAATGCCCTCTGATAGTTGTAGTTAAAACTACAGCATTTTTTTTTTTATACATGTATTTTATTTTTTAGGACAACATAACTGAATTTGTCTTTTACGTGACTACAGAGAATAAAAGCCACTCACAAATTATTCTCGTGATCATTACCCATACCAGAAGATGAGCACTTTTGGTATATATTTTCAAGAATTCCTTTCTAGTGACCCATGCTTTCCCTTAAATAAAAAAAAAAAAAAAAAAAATCTACAGACTGGAATATTCCACGGTTCATTCATATCTGTAGGTACTGGACATATACACAGAGGCTTGGAACGTACAAGCTTCAATTCTGAGTTTGCATTAAGACACTTGGAGAACAGATCTCTCAACTCCGTTTGAAGCTGCTGAAGAACAGGATGTGGAGGATACTTCTTCTCAGTGGACATGAAAATCTATTCTGAGAGGTCCCCATCAGCCTTCAAACTGAAATTAACTTTGATAAATTGGTGACAGATTTAAGAGAAGAGATCTGGTGTTTGCTTGTGTACCTGTACTAAGAAACAACATGTAGTCAGTACTAGAGAGACCTACTTTTGTGATTCTGTGATCCCTTTATGAACACAGAATATGCTTGAATTTCAGGATTCTTTGATCCAGTTTGAGGGAAGGTGATAATGGCTTTAATTTCCATCTAAAGCAATATCTAATGCTGCTGTAGATGCAAATTTTCAGGGAGTCAGAGAGTGATTCAGAAAGCCTTCAGTCTGAGCCTGAAAGACTTTAAGGCTGATTAGTACCTTTATGATAAAATCCAATAGCTTACAAATTTCTCACCCACGCTGGTTAGTTTCTTAGTCTTTAACAGCTTTAATGCTATGAATGACCTCTGATCTAGGAGGGGGTCAGAGATGAAATGTTGTCTTCATTTTTTTTCCCCACAGGGAGAAGCTATGCAAAAAAATTTGTGGGTTTTTTTTTTTTTGGGTTTTTTTTTTTTTTTTAATCACATGCACAGTAGAATTATTAAGAAAATTGATGGAGTAACTTTTAGAAAGGACTTCTGTGCAGTATCGATCACTGTGCTCCTGGTAACAACTTATTAAGATGAATTGCACTTTTTACTACATAAATTATTTTACAGTAGAGTACACTGGGGACACATCTCATTTTGATACAAAAAATAATAATAATAAAAAAAGACCGAGCACCATCAAGTGGCAAATGTTATTATAGCAGCTAAAAAGCTGCACATGCATAAATTCCCATTATTAATAATTTTACTTCCTGACTTTTAACATTCAATTCACAATGCACACAGCATGAACAGGCTTAAAACAGCAATGTATTGCACAAGAAATACAACACTCTAAACAGTGATCTGTAATAACTTCATAAATCAATTATTGCCTGGAAGTACAATTTAAACAAAAAACGTAAAATCTTTAGTTATAGCAAGTAATTTGATGCCCAGATAAAGTATGTTCCCCAACACAGAAAACTGGGAGAATGTTTTGTCACAATCCGAAGCAGCACTTGAAAACTTACTTCAAGCTAAAGTTCCATTAAAAACTACTAAAGGCTAACTTGACTGGACAGCCCTTTTATTGAAAATGTGGGTGCCTCTTAAAAGAGCCTATGGATTAAAAATGCCAGTGAGATGTTTTACTTGGAGCTGGTGTACTTGGTGACAGCCTTGGTGCCCTCAGAAACTGCATGCTTCGCCAGCTCACCCGGCAACAGGAGCCGTACAGCCGTCTGGATCTCCCGAGAAGTGATGGTGGAGCGCCTGTTGTAGTGTGCCAGGCGCGAGGCCTCGCCAGCAATGCGTTCGAAGATATCGTTGGCGAAGGAATTCATGATGCCCATGGCCTTGGAGGAGATGCCCGTGTCGGGGTGCACCTGCTTCAGCACCTTGTACACGTAAATGGAGTAGCTCTCTTTGCGGCTCTTCTTGCGCTTTCTGTTGCCCTTCTTCTGGGTCTTAGTCACCGCTTTCTTGGAGCCCTTTTTGGGCGCAGGCGCGGACTTTGCTGGCTCAGGCATTCCAACAAGCACTCGTGTCAGAGCTACCCAGTGCAAGAACTGAAAGAGCCGGGAAAGCAGCGCAGTGTACTGATCCGGGGGCCACATCCTTATAGCACGCTCTTGCAACTGAAGCAGCCTTCCCGTTGCCTCTATCATTGGTGAACAGCGTAACAAAACGTCATAACGCGCCTGTGCCCGACTGCTATTGGTTAGAATTCGATTCAGCTCCTGATTGGCTGCGCAGAGAAGACTTACTTCTCAGCCTATCACTGAAGGGGCGGGGCGGGAGGATGAGACTATAGCTGAGGAGCGCCGTCACTTTTCATTGTTGCGGTGCTGGGCGCTCTTAGCGCTGGCAGGCTTAGAGAGTGGAAGTGTCCGGGCGCGGGAAGCAGGGCGGGGCGGTGCGTGCCAAGGCCAAGGCCAAGTCGCGCTCGTCGCGAGCTGGACTGCAGTTCCCCGTGGGCCGCGTCCATCGCCTGCTGCGCAAAGGCAACTATGCGGAGGGGGTGGGCGCCGGCGCCCGGGTGTACCTGGCAGCCGTGCTGGAGTATCTGGCGGCCGAGATCCTGGAGCTGGCGGGCAACGCGGCCCGCGACAACAAGAATTGAATCACTGCAGTTTTCTTTGTTTCTGATAAATGTAATTACAGGCATGTAAGCTGTTTTTTTCTTCAGGCCTTATCTATGCAGTTTTATCTGATTTTCTGTGGTAGAGAGTTAGTTTGATTAATATTAATTCTTACTTGTAAATTTGCTCCCTGTTGGGAGGGGATTACATTTTTTTTACTGTTTTGGGAAATCTTCATTTTAATATCAGTAGTACGGTTACATTTGTGTATGGGAGTGAAGTAAACATTGCTCCTTCTGAGGAGTAAGTGAGCTCTAGCTTTTTTTCATATGTTCTATGTAATATTTAATAGTGAACAATATAAAACAAATGCTTTGTATCAACCTACTTTGTTTTCCTGTCTCGTTGCAGACTGTCAAACAGTAGTTGATTACTATTCAACTCAGGGCAACTTGTGATTTTCAAACTCTGGTGGTGCAAAGCACAGGCAAACCCCCAAACCCTGAGGAAGCTGGTTGTTCCTCACTGGCCCAGAACCAATTCTTTAACAAAAAGATCCATGTTCCCTGCCTTAGTTTACTTGTTATTTTCCGTTTTGCATTGTGTATTAATGTTACTAGGTAAGAGATTTGGTACTGGTTTTCTCTAGCAGTTAATTGTAGCGTACCGGTGAAGGATTTCACGCAGGGCAGGGTTACCAATGTTTTTATCAAGCTGCTTAATGTGACATGCTACCATGGTGATGGCTGCTGTATTTTACTGCGAAGTGGACTATTGCTTTTAATTTTCTTCCGTTTCTGGTACTAGTGCCTGAATTCAGTATCTTCTATATGAGGGCTGGGGTGTTTCAAGTTCCCTTCTCGTTTTAGAAGGTATATGGCTCTTTAAAGAGCTGCTGCTGTTCCTGCATTGTTGCCTCGAAGTTGTTTCTGTGCTGTGGGGCTGCCTTACTTGTTTCCATTGGGCTTTTATGTCGGTGGTTTTTTTTCTTTTTTTCTTTTTTTTTTTTTTTTGGTGTGTGTTTGTCTTTTTTGCCCTTTGTTTTTTTTTATTTATTCTTTTTTTTTTATTAGTATTTTTCTTCTGGTTTTAGTGGAGTTCTCGTCTGCTTTTTGGCCTTAAAATCTTATGCAGGCTGCTGGCTGCGGTAGCTGCTGGCTTCTTGACTTTCCTGGGGCTATTTTCTGCACTTCATAGGGGTGGATATGGCCTTAATGATGAGCTCTGTGTGACCAGAGCAACAGGAGTGGTTTCCAACGTGCCCACAGATTTCCCCATCTCTGTCCTTTAGAATAAGGAAGAGCGATGTGGGCTAACATATATGCGCACTTGGTATTCATTGAGTTCAGCTTCTCTAAAACTGAGTCAGTAATAAGCTCACCCATTTTTTCTCCCCTCTATTTGGTATACCTAACAAAACTGTTCTCTGCGTACCAGAATCACTGGGGATTGTAGCAAAAACCGTGAAGTCCCTGGCTACGTGTGTCACCTCAAAGCTGTCTGAAAGAATTTAAATTCTAGTTTTCAGACTGTAGGAACTTCCAAGCAGACAGTATTTCAGATTGCTTTCTCTTGCAAATGAATGCTCTGGTATCAGCAGCACAAACACACTAATGCCAGATTTAGAGTATTCATTATTATTTTTGTAGTTATTACTTTTATATCCTTATTATAGAGTGCATTTAAGCACTATATATTCCATCTAATTTCTCTATCTGGGATCTGGCTATGTGAGGTCTAAACTGAAGGGCCACAAGACCAAGTAATTGCTGCACAGGTAGACGCTTTTATGAAGATAATACTTAAAGGTGCTTTACTAAAATTTAGGGTAAGCGGGTAGATAGTTTTGAAAATATGTGTGCATATACAGTGTGAGAGTGTGAAGATCTGCAGCCTCCTGCAAGCTCCACAGATGGATTCGTGGTTACTTTTTTAACATTACCTAGTTTTTACTACAGCAGAATGGGAGAGGAAAGTGGAAATGCCTGCCATCAAGAGACAGAGAAATCTACTTCTTCCAGCCCATGAATGGGACCACTTAACGACTCTGAGGAGCCGGCGCTTCGAGTGCCCCAGCAAAAGATAGCTGGTACCCGTCCCCCACACCTACCTCAACCCCAGAAGGTCAGGCTCCCCATTCTTCTTCCCCAGTCGCCCTTGGGGAAAGCGGGGCGTGCTCTGTTTTGTCTGGATTGAACAGTTGTCTACACTTTGAAATGAATTATGTAGGAATTTTCTTTCTTCGCTGTGCGTTTTATTCCTGGAGTGAGGGAAGCAGAAAAAAGAATCAAAACACTAGAAGGGTTTTTAATATCTTTTAAGCAGCATGGGATTTACTGTGCGATTTAAACCCAAGAGTTTAATTTGGGTATGCTAACAGAAGGAGACCTCAGGCTCCTCGCTGAGTCAATGCAGTGGGTGGTGGATGATGGAGCGGACAGTCTCCCCTAGGAAGCCTCGTTTCTTCAGATGACGAAACCCTCTGGGTTTATAGGTAGGTCCGTGGCAAGCTGAGACTTTTCTGAGCCCCGTGTTGGTGCTAGAGATGGGGATTGAAGGAGTGATCTGCCTCAAAAGGCCACTCTGCTCTGCGGCATCTTCCGACCCTCGTTCGCTGCCATAGACTCCTGGGAACCACAGGGAGAGGCAAAGAAAAGGGTCGGATGTCTCCGAGAAGGGCAGAGTATTTTTCAGGACTTCAAAATCCTTTACACTTTTCCATTGTTTGAGGTGGTTTTAACTCTTTCATTGTCAAGAAATAAACCTGTAGGATAAGTGGAGCCCATATTATTCAGTTCAGAGAAATGCTGTAATTCCGTCCCAGGCCTTTCGAACCTTCCCCATGTCCCTTTTATGTCATTTTATACCCTATGCTATTTCCTGCTGAGAAATACATTCTCTCATGCAAATGTTATCAGATGGGAAATGCTGTAAAAGAAAAAAAAAAGTAAACTACTTATCTGCCTTCATGGTGTTGTGTAAAGTGCTAATCGCTCTGATCAACTGTATCAGCATTTCAGAAGCGCTTATTGTTGGATTTTTGTCCAGTCGATAAATGCACAATTAGAAGCTGCTATTGTAAGCCTGAAGTACAACACATACACATCTCAGGGGAGGGGTTGCATGACATTTAAGTATCTGTCAAGGCTAAAACTCCAGGAGCTAAATATGCCTCACACCCCTGTAACCATTTCACTTCTTCAAAGAGAGCTGTACTAGCAATTTCTAAAGGCAGAGTTTAAAAGCCCCTGTATGTAGGGAGCAGAACCGATTCATATAAATTGTTTGGGTTTCCTGAGCCAGCTGAGCTGAGCCCAGGCACCCAGGGCTGCCTGCAGTGTTGTCGGTCCAGTCTTGCTGGTGCTTGGAGCACAGGAGGAGATAGCTGTTATAAAAGCCATATTTCAATGTGCAGAAACATTGAGGCTTTGTGATTCCTATGGTAATACTTTTCCTCTTTCCTGAGCGAGATGATTAAAAATGCTAACCTTGCTGGGCCCCGAGCGTACGAGGCAAAATACCCCCAAACCTACCATGTGGAGTGTTCAGACTGTTTTACTTTTCAGTTGCTGCTACTTGCTAGAAAAGGAAAAGAATGCATATAAGTGACATAAGAAGTTTCACCATAGCTTCGGTGCTGCACAAAGGTAGCGTAAAATTCTCCACTCTGATGTTCAAATTTCAGCAGTAACTCTCCAAGTGTGCCCCCTTCTTTTTCTTTTCTTTTTTTTTCTTTTTTTTTTAATTCTTTCTTCCATTTTCTTACCTCCTTTTCAAGCACAAAATCTACATGCTATGCAAGTAGGACTAAAGTATAAAAAATATTGTGGATTTTATTGGTGATTAAAATTCCATGGTGTTCTGATACTCCTTTCACACACAAAATGCTTATTTTCTAGTTTAAAAATACGAGTATGTCTAGACTTCTGTGTTAAAAATTAATTGAGGACCTTTGTCCCTAATATGTAGTACCACTTTTTTTACAAGGAATAATTTTGGAACAACCTCTCTATCTGGACAGGCTATTAAATAATTCTTTGCAGTCACCAAAGAAACCCAAACCAAACCCTAAAAAAAAAATCTTCCACCTACATAGGCCTCTGATTCTGTGATCCCAGTCCGAGGAAGGAGCCAAACCTGCTCGTTGTAGTGTTTCTTCCTTGTAGGTGTGTGAGCTGGGAAGCTAGAAAGGTTGTTCCCAGCTGCATTCCCCTTCACTTCCGACTCTTCTCTCCAGTGAGGTATGTGTCACATCTTGACCTGAACTGTGCTCCGATGCAGCACAATCCTCCAGGCCCATTTTCATTCCTGGCCCAAAGCATTATATCCAGGTGTGTATAGGACTGAATCTTTTTCCCTTGCTGCAGCTAATACTGTCTCCCTCAATCCTGATTATTTTTTAAATATATTCTTTTATACTAAAACTGAAAAAGAAAGTCTCTGGGAAACCAACATTGCAATAATTTATAATCTCTGCATATTAGGAAAAAACAATTTCATAAATAGGTGGGAAGATATTGATTTTATCAATAAAAATAAAAAAAAAAAAAGGCAGGAAGGAGTATAAAATTGCTAAATCCAGTCTGTGATTTGTTCAGGTTGTGGATAAGATATAGCATCTACTTCATGTTTCTGATTTTCTGCTCAGTCAGTTATTTGTTCGCCCAGCTGATGTATTTCACTTTTGCAGAAACAAACTCACACTTTTAATGATTAAAATGATGAATGAGAAATACAACTTTTTCTGTAGGGTGTGCTGATCTAGAAGAAACAGAAATCTGCAAGAATGCTACTAACATCATAATTCTGTTACAAAAAAGACAAGGGAACTTTTGTAGCTGTTTGGATCGTTTCTCAGGATTCTTTATGGCTAATTATTTGATACAGGACAAAACTAAAGTAACTCTGATAATCTGATATACCAGAAAAGTTGCTAATATTAAACCGAGTATTTTGACAAATATACTTTGACAAAAATAAATGTACCCTGTATTTCAGTCGCTGTGAATGAAGAGGTATTTTGAAGATAGATATGGAGGGCAGGTAAAGACACAACACAAAGAGCCTGTTCATAGATTATGTATTTTAGCATTTTCCAGTGCTGAGAACTATTAGGATTAATAGCCTTAATTAACACTAGTAGATAAAATAATTGAAGCCTTAGGTCACTGAGAGTAAACTTTTTGGTAAAACGAATGCTGCTAAGACAGAATTAGATGAATCTGTCAGATATGAGTGAAATAAAGAAGATAAGGACCAAGGAAACAAATCCAAGAGAATGAGATAACTTCAGAACAGCCCAGCAATCAAGGAAGCCAATAAGAAATCAAGAGACCACTAACCAGAATTAAGGGCTTGCACTTGGGGATTGAGTGCTGGGTGGCACAGGTATAATTGGGGGGTGTGATGTGCAGTAGAGGTCTCACTTGGGGCATCCACCTTGAGCTGCTCTGCATGTTGGATAAATAAACAACTTATTTACGCTGTGGACTGGGGACTCACGTTCTTCAAGGAGGAACCTGGGGATAAGCCCTGTTGAGGGGGCATCTGCATAATTCCTACCATGGTCTGGGTGGCTGCAACATAATTCCTACTACACTGGGATGATGTATTTGAAAACTGTGCCATCTTACTGTTGCTGGTGATGTTATTTGGGCAGAGTGAATTTCAAAATACAAGGAACACTGCTTTGAACTGAGTAGGGAAGAATACTAAAGAATATGAATGAGTGAAGAATATGCAGTTATATAATTTTATATTCACAATATTTTATTCATTCATTTTGAACACATCCTCCTGTATAATTAAATTGTTTTTTGTTACTCTTGCTGAGACTAAATTCTACTACTTTTGCCTCTGATGAAAAGAAAAAGTACACCAAATTTTCCACAGTAGTTGATTCTTTTTTTTATTTTTTTAGTTTTTACATTTGAGATAGTTTGGTCTCAGCATGGACAGAAAAATAACAAATGTGTTAGAATAAGATCTGATGATGTGTGTGCACAGGTTGAAATCCTATGCCTACATTACAGACCCCTAATATTTTCTTATCATTCATACTGACATTGAAAGAAGTAAAATTGCCTTTTCTGTGAAGAGTTTCATAAACATGGAAATAATCTCACATACCAAAACAGACCTTTTTTTTTTAGAAAATAAGGATACTTGGAATTTACTGTGTGTCATGGCTTAAGCACAGCCAGTAACTCGGAACCACACAGAGGCACAGCTGCTAGTTCACTCTCCTCCCTCCTTCCTCCCCTGCTTTCGTTGGTTTGGGGGGAATCAAAAGAATGTAAACTCATGGCTTGAGATAAGAGCAGTCCGATGACTGAACTATAACACAAAACTATTACTACTACCACCAACAGTAATGATATGGGAAATCACAAAGGGAGAGAATATAAAAGTAAAAAGGGAAGGGGAAAAAAAAAAAACAACAAACCCACAAGAGATGCTCACCATCTGCTGACCGATACCCAGCCCAATCTGAGCAGCAATCTGGGCCTTCCAGGTAATTCCACCAAGTTTATATACCGGGCATGATGTGGTATGGAATACCCCTTTGGCTAGTGTGGGTCAGGTGTCCTGTCTCTACTTCTTGTGCCCCTCTTCACTGGCAGAGCATGGCACTCTAAAAGTACTTGATCAGAGTAAGCATTACTTAGCAACAACTAAAACATCAGTGTGTTATCAGTATTGTTCTCAGACTAAAGCTGAAAACAGCACTGCACCAGCTACAAAGGGGACGAAAAATAATAGCTACAGTTGAACTCAGGACATTGTGAAAGCTGTTTTGAGAGCAATGAACTGTGCACCACAGAGCGTACAAAACCAGGAAAGGCAAAAGGAATGCAGACTGATTCCTGAACTGGGAGGCCAAAAGGCACCACTGAGATCTTCCTTTTATTCAGGTAACAGTAATGCCCTCTGATAGTTGTAGTTAAAACTACAGCATTTTTTTTTTTATACATGTATTTTATTTTTTAGGACAACATAACTGAATTTGTCTTTTACGTGTCTACAGAGAATAAAAGCCACTCACAAATTATTCTCGTGATCATTACCCATATCAGAAGATGAGCACTTTTGGTATATATTTTCAAGAATTCCTTTCTAGTGACCCATGCTTTCCCTTAAAGAAAAAAAAATAAAAATCTAGAGACTGGAATATTCCACGGTTCATTCATCTCTGTAGGTATTGGACATATATACAGAGGCTTGGATCGTACAAGCTTCAATTCTGAGTTTGCATTAAGACACTTGGAGAACAGATCTCTCAGCTCCGTTTGAAGCTGCTGAAGAACAGGATGTGGAGGATACTTCTTCTCAGTGGACATGAAAATCTATTCTGAGAGGTCCCCATCAGCCTTCAAACTGAAATTAACTTTGATAAATTGGTGACAGATTTAAGAGAAGAGATCTGGTGTTTGCTTGTGTACCTGTACTAAGAAACAACATGTAGTCAGTACTAGAGAGACCTACTTTTGTGATTCTGTGATCCCTTTATGAACACAGAATATGCTTGAATTTCAGGATTCTTTGATCCAGTTTGAGGGAAGGTGATAATGGCTTTAATTTCCATCTAAAGCAATATCTAATGCTGCTGTAGATGCAAATTTTCAGGGAGTCAGAGAGTGATTCAGAAAGCCTTCAGTCTGAGCCTGAAAGACTTTAAGGCTGATTAGTACCTTTATGATAAAATCCAATAGCTTACAAATTTAGCCCACGCTGGTTAGTTTCTTAGTCTTTAACAGCTTTAATGCTATGAATGACCTCTAAATATAGGAGGGGTCAGAGATGAAATGTTGTCTTCATTTTTTTTTTTTCCCCAACAGGGAGAAGCTATGCAAAAAAAATTATTTTTTTTTTTTTTAAATCACATGCACAGTAGAATTATTAAGAAAATTGATGGAGTAACTTTTAGAAAGGACTTCTGTGCAGTATTGATCACTGTGCTCCTGGTAACAACTTATTAAGATGAATTGCACTTTTTACTACATAAATTATTTTACAGTAGAGTACACTGGGGACACATCTCATTTTGATACAAAAAATAATAATAATAAAAAAAGACCGAGCACCATCAAGTGGCAAATGTTATTATAGCAGCTAAAAAGCTGCACATGCATAAATTCCCATTATTAATAATTTTACTTCCTGACTTTTAACATTCAATTCACAATGCACACAGCATGAACAGGCTTAAAACAGCAGTGTATTGCACAAGAAATACAACACTCTAAACAGTGAACTGTAATAACTTCATAAATCAATTATTGCCTGGAAGTACAATTTAAACAAAAAACGTAAAATCTTTAGTTATAGCAAGTAATTTGATGCCCAGATAAAGTATGTTCCCCAACACAGAATGGGAGAATGTTTTGTCACAATCCGAAGCAGCACTTGAAAACTTACTTCAAGCTAAAGTTCCATTAAAAACTACTAAAGGCTAACTTGACTGGACAGCCCTTTTATTGAAAATGTGGGTGGCTCTCAAAAGAGCCTTTGGATTTAAAATGCCAGTGAGATGTTTTACTTGGAGCTGGTGTACTTGGTGACAGCCTTGGTGCCCTCAGAAACTGCATGCTTCGCCAGCTCACCCGGCAACAGGAGCCGTACAGCCGTCTGGATCTCCCGAGAAGTGATGGTGGAGCGCTTGTTGTAGTGCGCCAGGCGCGAGGCCTCGCCAGCAATGCGTTCGAATATATCGTTGACGAAGGAATTCATGATGCCCATGGCCTTGGAGGAGATGCCCGTGTCGGGGTGCACCTGCTTCAGCACCTTGTACACGTAGATAGAATAACTCTCTTTACGGCTCTTCTTGCGCTTTTTGTCGCCCTTCTTCTGGGTCTTAGTCACCGCCTTCTTGGAGCCCTTTTTGGGCGCAGGCGCGGACTTTGCTGGCTCAGGCATTCCAGCAAGCACTAGTGTCAGAGCTACCCAGCGCAGGAACTGAAAGAGCCGGGAAAGCAGCGCAGTGTACTGATCCGGGGGCCACATCTTTATAGCACGCTCTTGCAAATGAAGCATCCTTCCCGTTGCCTCTATCATTGGTGAACAGCATAACAAAACGTCATAACGCGCCTGTGCCCGACTGCTATTGGTTAGAATTCGATTCAGCTCCTGATTGGCTGCGCAGAGAAGACTTACTTCTCAGCCTATCACTGAAGGGGCGGGGCGGGGAGACGAGACTATAGCTGAGGAGCGCCGTCACTTTTCATTGTTGCGGTGCTGGGCGCTCTTAGCGCTGGCAGGCTTAGAGAGTGGAAGTGTCCGGGCGCGGGAAGCAGGGCGGGGGGGTGCGTGCCAAGGCCAAGTCGCGCTCGTCGCGAGCTGGACTGCAGTTCCCCGTGGGCCGCGTCCATCGCCTGCTGCGCAAAGGCAACTATGCGGAGGGGGTGGGCGCCGGCGCCCCGGTGTAGCTGGCAGCCGTGCTGGAGTATCTGGCGGCCGAGATCCTGGAGCTGGCGGGCAACGCGGCCCGCGGCAACAAGACGACTCGCATCATCCCGCGGCACTTGCAGCTCGCCATCCGCAATGACGAGGAGCTCAACAAGCTGCTGGGCAAAGTGACGATTGCACAGGGTGGTGTGTTGCCCAATATCCAGGCTGTGCTGCTGCCGAAGAAGACCGACAGCCACAAAGCCAAAGCAAAGTAAACATAAGGCTTTCCCTTGTGCTGCACGTTTCCAGTCAAAAGCTCTTTTCACAGCCACCCACAAAATCATGAAAGTGCTCACTTAGCCATAGTATAATTACCCCACCTTACATGAACTACTCAACCCGTGTTTTGTCTTACATTCTCTATGTTTATTGACAGTGTTTTTGGCTTGGTGGTAAAAGCAACGATTTCCACGTTTTCATTAACACAAAGTGCCAAAACTTCCTCCCAAAGCAAGTTCTTTCTGGTGTGGGGTATCTCGTGTGGTTCTTACGCCAGAGAGCATAGGAAGATCATTTTGGCCAGAGCTCCCGTCCCTTCTCCCCTCTTCCGCGTTTTTCTTCTCCGAGAGGGGCTGGAACAGCACGAGAGGGACGAGGCATAATCTTCGGGAAGGGAGGGGGAAAGGGCGGAGGAAGGGGCAGTGGGCAGGGCGCCCCGCTGGCCAATCCTTGGTCTGGGCGGGCTTTTTCAATACTTTAAGCCCTTTCTCAAGGGGGAACAAAAGGAAATGGAGCGCTCAGGGCTATTTTCGGGTCTCCGAATTAAAAACTCTCCCCTCCTCCACCAAACAGGCAAAATCATTTAAGAGAAATAATACAATAGATTAGACATGGCTCAGTAGTAGCTTGCCTGCCATTACTATCGCTTTTGTTACAAAATATAACCTTAAAAAAAACCCCACCCAACAAATCCCATACATCAGATTTTTATCAAATAATTATAAAATATTGCTTCCTTGTAGTCAAACCAATTACTCGAGAAAAACAGATTTAAAACTACACTTCCCTAAAGCACCGCGTCATACCGTATTCGTTACCATTTCTTTCGGCAAACGTAACGGGGGTGGGAGAAGTAAGACAAAATTGACCTCTGAGGACTTACAAATTACTGGATCCTTGCTTCAAGTTACCCTCGGCCTCGGTGCCCCAGCTCCTTTAGAGAAAGCGTGGGTGGCTCTTAAAAGAGCCGTTGGATTACAAAATATGTAGAGCAGGACTCTTCTGGTATGATTTACTTTTTCTTGGGCGCTGTCTTCTTCGCCTTGGCCGCTTTTGGCTTGGCTGCCTTGGGCTTAGCTGCTTTGGGCTTCACCGATTTAGCCTTGGCGGGGCTCTTCGCTGCCTTCTTAGGGCGACCTGCCTTGGCTGCTTTCTTGGGGCTCTTGGCAGCCTTCTTGGCCGCAGCGGCCGCCGGCTTCTTAGCTTTCTTAGGGCTCTTCTTCACCGCCGCAGCTTTTTTAGGCTTCTTAGCGGCGCTTGCAGGCTTCTTGGCCGCTGGTTTTCTGGGTTTGGCTGCGGTCGCTCGCTTCCTGGGGGCCTTTTCTTTCACCTCTCCCGGCTTCTTGTTAAGACGAAAAGAGCCGGAGGCACCGGTGCCCTTGGTCTGCACCAGGGTACCTTTGTTGACGAGGCTCTTCAGCCCCAGCTTAATGCGACTGTTGTTCTTCTCTACATCGTAGCCGCCGGCAGCCAGCGCCTTCTTGAGCGCGGCGAGAGAGAGCCCCTTGCGTTCCTTGGAGGCGGACACGGCCTTGGTGATCAGTTCGGTGACGCTAGGACCAGCAGGCTTCCGGGCTTTGGAACCGCCCGCCGCTTTCTTCGGCTTCTTGGCGGAGGCCTTGGCACCGGGAGCCGGCGCGTCGGGGGCGGCGGCAGGAACGGTCTCGGACATCGCAGCGGCGGCAGCAGCGTCCTCTGCGGAGCAGGCAACGCAATTGGGCTGGCGAGGGTCAGCTGCTCGTATTTTTAGCGAGGAGCCGCTCGGTGATTGGTGCGTTGCAGAGCCCGCCTCTCTGTACGGCCGGGGAGCCCTTCGGTGTGCTCGATTTGTGTTTCTTTGGACTCACAAAAGTGTATTTTCCTCGGAATTTCTGCCACCAAATCGCCCCGTTTCCCTGGTGAGGTAGGAGAAGACAAGGTACTTGCGTTCGGGAGAGTTTCCAGCCGGAAACATGCAGGCTGAGGTAAAGGAGAGGCAATAAATCCCGTGTGCTGCTGCTGGAGAGACCTCTAAAGAGAGAAACTTTTGTTTTTCCTTGCAAATTAAAAATTTTCTTTTGACATAAATGTTACAGCAACTGCACAGTCTGATTCTTTAGAGGGTTTTCTTGGGGCCAAAGCTGAAATATGCCGGTTTAAAGCTAATTTGACAGTTTAAAGTGATTTTGAAGAGGAGGAAGTAACACAAACTCTTCTTTCAGCTTTGAATATGGATTAAGAACCGGTTCCTTTGACCATGTGTTTTACCTCCTAAAACGCTAAAGTCTACTGAAATAGTGCCTTCTAGTATCTCCTATTGCTTTTTTTATAGATTCATAAGCAATTTGTTAATATCTGGAGATTTATGAACATAGTGTTGTTTTATTATCGCTTCCTGGAATTTCAGTATAAGGGAGGCAGACTTACCCTCTTACTCTGCGTTGGGTGTTTTTTCTTTTGTTTGTTTTCAATATGAATTTCTGTACCAATTCTCAACTAGATGAAATTATTTGCTTTTCATGTTCCATTTCAGTTTCAAGTAAACAGTTATTTGATATCTGATGTTGCAAAACTGAAGCTTTGTAAAAGAAAACAACATCCCAAACTTCTGGTGATATTTACTGAAATTATATTTGTCTCTCTCGCAACTTAAGATGTTCAAGGACTAGCATAGCAGTTTAGTAGTTATGTTTTTCCTGTCTAGAGAGTGTTATCATGTTATGTATTTAATAGCAAGTTTAGTAGAATTTAAAATCATATCATCTGGAATTTTTTCTTTTCTAATGCATCTCTTAGAATTTGTCTACACAAAGGTTTATCTAAAGCCAATTCTGAATCCTCTTCCTACTCTAAGTAAAACTCATCTAATTCTTCCGTATGCATTTTATAGCAATCACTGAAATGAGAAAATGCTTTCAGGACAAAAACTAAAGCACTTTGTGATAACCTTTTGACAAGGGGAGTGGTAGGGCCATAGGTTGTTCCTAAAGAACCAGGAAGAATTCAGTCAGTATCGCTATCTGGTGGAAGGTGATTTAATATGCTTAACAGAGAAGAGCTCTTGAACAATATTTCATTAACCTGTGCCCGGCTATAAGCAAGTGTGGTATCCATTGCTTTTTCCAGTTATTTGAGAATCACAAAGACTACACTTCAGCCCTAGTGTCTGATTTCCTTTGATATTACCAGCTATAACATATAATATGAACTTAAACCATATTAGTAACTAAAACAAACTAGTACTAACTAGATTTAAGTACTAACTAGTACTTAAATCATATTAGTAACTAAAATTTCAGATTGTATGAATAAGAAGTTTTGAGCAAATGTAATCCTATTTCCACCTCATTGTTTTATTTACATGTGTATATAACATGAAAAAAATAGTTTGCTATAAAATTAGGTTTCAGTAAGTATGAAACTGGATAAATGCAATGAAGGGAAAAATTTCAACCAGCACCCTAGATGAAAAAAAATCGTTTAAAAAAAAAAAAAAAGTTGCAGGAAAAGTGCACCTGGGTGTTATAATGCTTCAATAGGAAGACAGATGGGAGAAGGGTAATCTTACTACTTTAAAGATCTTGCTTGTAACAGTTACACAACATAAGATAGGGATACAGGAATGAAATGAAGTTGAAGGGGATGGGGGTATTGAAGATATATCTTTACAGATTAGTAAAACTGAAGTAAAATAAATATATATCTTTTAAGTCTATGTCCTAGGTGTGTTTATAAATCAGTGAATGAGATTTTCTATTGACTTGACTACACAGTGAAATAAAGTAGCAATGCTGGGAGGAGATGACATTTAACAGATACCTAAGGCACTTCATAGCAGAGAGGCAGAGGAAAAAAGCTTAGACCTTGAAGTAATATGTCAGCAAAATAAAAACTCATATTGCCTATTCTTGTTATTTTGAACTTGTACATATTTACTTCAGTAACCTTCACTGTAGGAGCTTTAAATACTCCTGCCCCCAGTTGTGGCTTCACAGATTGTTTATTCACATTTATTGGTTGGATTGGCTGAAACTGGGATGGCTAAAATGCTCGCCATCCCAGTTGTATGCCTGGCTTTTCTCCCAGCACTTGATATCGTCTCCCAGTTCCCAACAGGGACAGCTAATAATATGTATAGCATCTTCTGATCTCCAACGGTTACAGTCTACTATCTTAAAAAAGTATAAAATGAAGTAACTAGAGAAATTTCCTGACACAGAGAGAAGCTCTGATCTTTCTTTTTTTCTAGTGGCTTTTCAGGAAAGATATGAAATAACTTTAGCCATGTAGAATTGCTGCTTAGAACATGTCTCCTTTTGTACATGAAAGAAATACATGCAGGAAAAACATTTTGGAAAGTTGAGGTGCATTTGGTGATTTAAAAAAGAGTTTGCTCCACAGTCAGGGCAGATTAGTTTAGAAGGCATGGGCAGATATACTCAGGCAAAGTAAAAAATGGAGTGTCAAAAGCCGGAATAGCAGTTTCACCTACAGATGAGCAAATGAGAAAAGGAGATAATCCTGTTTAGGTATAGGATGTTGTAGAAAGACTTTGTGAAGAAGGCGCCATGTAGATGCTGACGTGCAGTTTGGCTTTCCTAATGAGAATGGAGGGAGGTAGACTTCATCATTCATTAAAAGAGGAGAGGAGTGACATCAGGATCTCCGGAGCTACTTTTTTGAAAGAGCATCACTGTAATGTCTACTACATCTCAATTACTTCAATTCTTTCTACCTTGTGGGCACCCCAGCAGGCCACACTACATCAGAAACCTGCAAAGATTGCAATCTGAAGACTGCAAGTCACTTCCCTTCAGATACCCAGGTCTCTCCAACTTTTATATTTTAAGACTTCTTGGCATAAACAAGAAGACACAGGAACCACAGCCAAGGGCTGGCACTACACCTGAGAGCTATCGAACATTCCCATCTCCAGTTTAGGACCTGCTAGTACTCGTTCCTAAGAAAATGAACTCTGGGTTATATTTAGATATGTTTGCAGTAATGAGAGGTAGCGCAGTAGTTGTTCTTCTCAAGCAATTTTGTTAGGCGGCATTAGCATGAGAGCTAGCCACACCATGTGGCTAATGGGCTGCTTTACCTCCTGAAGGTGAGAGCCATGGTCAGTCAGACAGCTGGAGGAAGTACAGCTCTGCACCACAGTCACTCTCTTTCCTTCAAGTGACAATTTCCAGAGAGATTTAGGTGAGGAACTTTATATTATGTACTACACTCCTTGCAGACATGTTCCACAGGAAAGAAGTGTAAATACTCCCTGCAACCATGATTACACTCCTATTACAGTGTTACACCCATGCCTTACTTGCCTTCAGTGACTTCATCCTTCATCTGAGTTACAAATGTAATAACTTGTATGATCAAACCAGCCAGCACAGCTTAACAACTTTCAACCCTTAGCTAAGGAATTTTAAAGTGGTACATACCAAACTACAAACTTGCTGCAGCTCAGCAAACAAGCCTCTGCGTACGTAATACTATTGTTGCTGCTGTTGCTGTTGTTAAGGCTCCTAAGCTTACTGAGGCCACACAAGGCCTTTTAAATCCAGTGTATGGCTGAGCATCTGGAGTGGGCAGCACAAATAGGGTAGGGCAGCGGATGACTGTCCCTGTAGACTCAGCTTCCTGGAATGTTGCACTCTCCTCCCTGTACTCTTGTTTAAGGGTTGGGACATCTGTTGTGGCCTCCCTTCATCCTTGCCATGGCATGTCATTTGGATATTGAAAATCTATAGTCCAGAACCTGCACCTGTCCATAGTTAGGAGGTACTGGGAAGGATGCTTTTCCTCGGAAAGCAGAAAAAAAAAAACACAGGAAAAATGCAAGGAAACCCTTCCCAGAATGGCTGATGTGGAAAAAATATGTACTTTGTTGTCTAATATACAGTAGTTTACCAGGTTAACACATCTTTGTTTTTCTCACACACACGCAAATAAAAGGTCCTCACTGTCAGTCAAGTATCAAGGAACAAATTATTCATGCCTTAAAGTACTGTGGTTTTCTAAAACTAATCTAGGACACTTGGTAAACTCTCTTCTGAACCACCCTGGCATGCTTTGAACATTGTCATCAACCAGCGATTGAGGACAAACTGTCCATGGAAGGCAAGCAACATTAACAGAAGCTCCATTAGCCATGGCTTCCCAAAGAAAGAAACTGTTTCCTCCTGAATTGCCAGTGTCTCTCTTTCACCTGCATTTAGTAGTGAATTCCACCAAGAAGAGGTGCCATCACACTGTCCTTTCAGAGCATCCTCTGTCAGCACAGAAGCCTGGCTCCTCAGACCTGTGAGCAACTCATGCAGAGTGATGCTGAGCAGCTCACTCTTCCTCCCCACAGCACCCAGCACTTCTGTGTTTTCTGCCCTGCACTCTTTCTGATTGGTGTGGCAGTGCTCCCTGTGACTGCCAGTAAAAGCGCGGAAGCAACATGGCCTATCTGTAAGTCCCCTCCCGCTCCAGCCAGAACTACTTTTGGTATTTATGGAGGGATGCACAGCTGGTCTCCAGTCCACCATCTCCATGGCTGGTGACACCCAGCTGCTGATGTGACAGACTTCCAGGTACATTTGGGTTGGCATGCAACCCTTTCTTTTTGACAGACAGTGATAGTGGCACCCAGACAGAGTAGCCTGGACTTCTGTCATCGCTGAAAGCCAGAGCACTGTGTTACACACCGGGTTAAGATGCTCTCATTAAGTGATGCTGCCTTGCTGGTTTTGCTGAGAGGTGTGGGGCTGAAGCAGCTACTGGCTCCAGATAAAGCTGTTTGTGCCATCTTTTTAAAGCAGGAGTATCACAAGGTAATACTTGTGTTCCAGCGATATAGGCTGGCTGTCTTCCCACAGAA